AATGCAGATATCCTAGAGAATGTCAGATCATGAATATGTATTTAAAGAATAAATTTTAAGGTTTTTTTTTTAAAATAACATATTGTTCTGACCTTTGTAAATAAAAAAACTCAGAAATCCTCGTATGCATACCCGTCAGAAGTTTTTATTACATAAAATTGCTAAAACCTATCACTGTCAAGTCAGTTATGACTTAGGAGGACCCTATGTGTTATGCAATAGAAGTACTCCATAGGATTTTTTTGCTGTAATCCATCAGAAGCAAGAAAGCAGATTGCCAGGCCTTTATTCCTTGGCACGACTAAGTGGGTTTGAACATAGTCTGTAGAGAGTTGCGCTGCTGACTCAGAGACAGCTCTTTTTGGTGCTTCAAATCCACCAGTGAATCACTTGAGAAGAATGAGCCATTGATTCCTGTGTGATTTAAAGCCTCCCGAAAACTTAGGCTATGAGTCAGTTCTGACTCCGTGGCAATGAGTGAGCGTGTGAGACATTTTATATAAATGTGTAAATAAGTAATCTGCTATGTTTTCACAGTTTTTCTAGCCCATGAAATATTAGTGTCTCCTTGCTCCTCTCAATGTACAGGCTCTCTTGATCCTCAGTATTGTTTCTCATGAAATAAGGAATTCCTGTAGAAGGATCAGTGTTGAGGATGGCAGTGGTGTGCTTCCTAAGTCACTTAATACTTACACTGGGATTACTGGAGAATGACAGAAGCTACAACTTCTCTGTACTTCTCCCTCCTGAGGTTTTTAAGGTTACACTAATCAAAAAACCATCCAGGGACTTTGTCTTGTCAGCCTTACAGCCGGTTTTATTTTCTCCCTGGCAGCTTGGGCATGATTTGATCTTTCTTTTTATTTGCTTAATGGTCTCTTGAGTTATCTGGTATTGACAGGTTCTTCCTGAGGCTGTGCTCTGTGTCCAGTCTGACACGCAAGCCCCAGAAAGCAGGGGGACTTAATAGAGAGACATGATCAATGTCAAGGGCCATCAATTGTAAAAGACACTTCTAGATGTTTCCTGGCTATCTCGCTGTCGTTCTGTAATATTTTTCTGTCTAGTGAAGTAGAAGAGAGTATTTAAAATATCTGTTCTATGTCATTGTATTTGATTATTTGTTAGAAATCCATATTAACGACTTACCATTTAATTCCGCATTAACTGATTGTCTTTAAATACCGTATTCTTAAAAGATGAACCTTCCAAATATAGAAATTAAAATAAGATATACTTAAAATGCTGGTTGAATAGATGTTTTCTTTGGATAAAAAATAACATTTTATCTGCTACTTAAAAGGACTTGGTATTTTTATTTTTTAATAACATGAAACTGCTTTCTCAATTTCTAGCATGTTTAGAAAATATGATTCAACTAGAATAAAGACTGAAGAAGAAGCCTTTTCAAGTAAGCGATGCTTAGAGTGGTTCTACGAATACGCAGGTAGGTGATCATTTATATTCTGTAAGATTGAACCCTTTGAAAAGAGAGCCTTTGAGGAGGTTAAAGAATAATGTGCATGTTGGTGTGTATTTTTGTATTTGTGTCCTCATGTAAGAAAGATGAGGAGGTACGGACATAGTTGAATCACATCACCAAATGTCCTATTTATAGTCATTGAAAGCTAAGCCAAAGAATTCAGAATACCGGAAAGGAACTGAAAAGATGGAATGTACTCGAGAGGAACACTTGGATTGCTAGGACATCTATTTAGAATGCTGATAATGGGTGATTATTTGGGTTAAGCACTGAAGTTAAAATAAGCTTTGCTGTTTTGAACCCTTATGTAGCACATTGACATTTCTTTGTACAAAGTTTCTCTTTTGGTATTTGGCAGAGATTGTTTTGCCATTTCAAATGCCTTAAATTCAGTCCTAAATATAGAACTTATTAAAACTGATTGGATATCAACTGTGACTGTGCATGATCTGAAAAAGAGAAAAATTTTACAGCCAAGTTTGAGCTGTTATTATTGTTGTTACGTACTGTTGAGTCATAGATGACTCATAATGACCCTACGAACCAAAAACCTGAACACCTGTATAATTTTCATCGTTCTCCAAATTCATAGAGTTTTGGGAGGCAAGCTATTTCGAAAGTGGACGTCACTCCTGCTTCCAAGCTTGTTTTAATAGGGGAGCTCCACCAAATACTGTCCGCCATGGGTAACCATTCTCGTACTTGACACATTGGTCACAGATGTTTGAGCTAAAGATTCTTTTTACGTTTCCCCTTATTTTAGGCCATCCTATATTCTACCATACTTTGAACAGATTGCTAGGAGGTGCTGTTTCTTGGAGAGGGACATGATGTTGGGAAGAGTGGAGGGTCAACGAAGGAGAGGAAGACCCTCAACCAGGTGGATTGACACCCTGACTGCTGCAGTGGGCTCTTGTGTTTCAGGAAGTGTGAGGATGGTGCAGGACAGCACTGGGTTCAGATCTTTTGTTCATGGGGTCGCTTTGAGTTGTACTTGATTCTGTGGCATCCAACAACAACAACAACATAATTCTGTCAGCATGACTATTCCAGCAACCTTTGACAAATAATTTTTCTGTCATCAGTCTCTTATTCCCAACCTGGTTTCAGTACCTCCTGTTACCTTCCTTTCATAAAACAAACAAGACAGATCATATCATTCTAATAATCTCTAGTCCTCTCCTAGCATTGAAATCTCTGCTACTCCGTTTCTCAGGCTGCAGTATTTTTGGTCCCAGTTTGCCTTCCATCAAACTGACACACATCTCTTTTATGCACCTTAATTAATTTAATAGCCCTCCTTGTACTCCCACAGGGATGTGTTCCCAGCTTGTTTAGATACTCTGAGCATCAAAATTTTTATTGTCTCCATGTTCTGTTCATGCCCTCTTCCCCTACACCCCTTCCTAATAAGAGTCATGCTCTTTTGATCATGTGGATTGATGTTAAAAGCCTGTAGCTATCCAGGCTAGACCAGGCAGACAAAATCTCTGGGCTTTCATATTAAAGCTGGGAGAGGAGCATTATGATCCTGATTCTTTAATATTTTAAAGTTTTGATATGAATCACTCTAATGTCTGCATTACTTTAGGTGGGTGCTGGGGTTTTTTGTTTGTTTCTTTTGGAGATAACAATAAAGTTTTCCTGCTTGTTTGACTTTCTTGGGCAAAAAGTGACATTTTAGGAGTAAAGATTAGGCTATAAAGTTCCTTGAGATAGCTCCTAGATGGTAAATTAGAATTCATATGTGTGAAGAGTTTGTCTAGCTTTCCCCATTTTTTATCTCCTTTTACCTCCTTTTTTTTTTTTTGGTTGGCCTCCACTTCCTAAACAACATGCCACTGGAAACTATGAACTTTGATAAATGTTGATAGTTATAGAAGGGCTTCAGGCCTTTTGTTCATAGGATCGCTATGAGTTATGCTTGACTCAGTGGCAATCAACACCACCACAACAAACTTGGATGTAACTCAAGGCCCTATCTATGCTGTCAGAAGGGTTGAGTCCTTGGAATAGGACATACTCTGGGAAAGGTGAAGGGTCAGAGAATGAGGAGACCCCTCAACAAAATTCATTGACACAGTGACTGTCACAATGGGCTCAAACATATCAGAGATGTGTAGATGGCACGAGATAGGGCAGGGTTCAGATCTGTGGTTCATAGGGCTGCTATGAGGCATAGTTGACTTGCAGGCACCGAACAACAAAGCCCTAACTAATACCTGCTATCATACTGAATATCCTCAGACGTCCCAGCTACATGAAGTGAAACTTGTAGGTGAGTATTAGTCAAGAAAAACTAATTGTGAGATGAACCAGCAGGACAAATGAGTTGTGCTGTAGGATGAATCCAGAGGAGCAAGCTGTGAAGTCATAGTCCTCCTAGATTATGATGTTAGAGTGCAGAGAGCTTTAACACCCACCTCATCACTTCAGGGTCTGCGTCTTCCCAGGAGAGAGTCAGCTGGGCTTAAAGGCTGCCCATCCTTTAATCTAGAACGGAGAGAGGGGTGTGGGAGTCAGTTGGTGCCATTGTTTCAGAAGGAAGGCTCTTTAGTTCTTTTCAGAGCTTTTCCTTTGTCTTAACTCTCCTACCGCCTGCTTTCCGTGGCACCACATGCTGCCTCAGCCATGCCCTGCCCCAGCTTCTGGGCAACCAGTTATCAGCAACCCTTTTTTTGAAGCTTTCTCCTAGTTCATCCTAGAATGCAGCCTCTCATCTTGTTTTGATTCTTGTTACTTCAACTTCTGGCTCCCAGAAATTTCCTAAAACTTGCTGTATTAGGACTCTTCTTCCTGTTTTCTGTGGTTTTAGATCTGTTCCCTTTTGGCACTTTAGTTTTCTGGTTCAGAAAGAATGAGGGTCAGATGTATTGTTTAGACAGCATCTGAAAGTTCCATTTCATCTCTTCTCTTTGGAATTTGAAAAATCTTTTTTACATAAATAATTTAGTTAATGACTTGGTTTTCAAATACACCTAAGAGTAGAAAATACACTAAATAGGTGCTAAAATTTATTTCAATGAGTACCTCCACTAAAGCCCACATACATGGGTCATAAACACTTTACAAATGCTGACCCCATTCTTCAAGGAGATGGAAAAGGCAATCTCCAATTTCGTATGGAATGGGAAAAAGCCCCGAATAAGCAAAGCACTCCTTAAGAATAGAAGAACGGTAGGAGGTATCTCACTCCCTGATTTCAAATCCTACTACACTGCCGTAGTAGTCAAGACAGCATGGTACTGGTACAATGACAGACACATAGATCAATGGAATCGAATTGAGAATCCAGAGATCAACCCATCTATCTATGGTCAACTGATCTTTGACAAGGAGATGAAATCAGTGAAGTGGGGGAACGACAGCCTTTTTAACAAATGGTGTTGGCAAAATTGGAAAAATATCTGCAAAAGACTCAAGCAAGACCCACACCTCACTCCATACACAAAAACCAACTCAAGGTGGATCATGGACCTAGGACTAAAACCAAGGACTATGAAATTCATTACAGAAAAGCTAGGAACAACACTAGAAGTCCTAATCCACAACATAAACAGTCTTCCCAGTATCCTGGAAAAGCTACAACCAGGAGAAGATAACATAGATGAATGGGACCTTCTAAGACTCAAATCCCTATGCACATCCAAAAACTTCTCCAGTAGGGTAAAAAGGGAAGCCACTGACTGGGAAAAAGTATTCGGTAATAACATATCAGATAAGGGACTTATATCCAGAATTTATGAAATACTTGAGCACCACAACAAGATAAAGGTAAATAATCCAATAGAAAAATGGGCACAGGATATGAACAGGCACTTCACCGAAGACGACATTCAGATGGCTAACAAACACATGAAGAAATGATCAAAATCCCTAGCCCTAAGAGAGATGCAAATTAAAACAACTATGAGATATCATTTCACCCCAGTCAAAATAGCAAAATTTAACAGAACAGCAAGCAACAAATGCTGGCGAGGTTGTGGAGAAACTGGAACCCTGATTCACTGTTGGTGGGAGTGTAAAATGGTGCAACCCCTGTGGAAAGCAGTATGGCGCTTTCTCAAAAAGTTGCAAATAGAGATACCATTTGACCCAGCAATTCCACTACTGGGAATATACCCTGAAGAGACCAAAGCTGACATCCAAGCAGATATATGCACACCCATGTTCATTGCAGCTTTGTTCACAATAGCAAGGAGTTGGAAACAACCTAAGTGCCCATCAACAAACGAATGGCTAGAGAAGCTGTGGTATATTCGCACAATGGAATACTATGCTGCATTAAAAAACAAGGAACTCATGCAATATTATTCAAAATGGTTGACTCTGGAGAACAAATGCTGACCATAAGTCCTTACCCTTGACTTTGGATACAGGTCTGTAAAAGATTTGTTGTTTGGTTTTCTGGAGTAAGATTAGGGATCAGGATATGGATAAGTTAAATAAGTAAATAAGTAAAAGTCAGACATGGATAGTTGCAAAAGATGACAAAAAATGATCTTAACAGTGAAGGAAGAGATACTGAAGACTACCACATGGTGCAGTGTGGGGTTCCTTTCCCTCTGTGGCTGGTGTGGTGTAATTATGGAAACGTTAGGGTGAGGGTCTTGGGATAATGGACAGGTTTAAGCATGTTTGGTCAGGAACATCTGTCTGCCAGATAGTAACAGATAACAGTGTATATGTGTTTCCAAATGTAGTTCCAGTACCTCGTCATCCAAAATGTTCCATAGCGTATTAGATAAAATTCACTGTAGTTTTTATATATAAAATTGTCTCCCTTACACCCCAGATTCTGTTTGAGCAGCTCACCATAATCCCTCTTTGCTGCCTTCTAGCATTTGAATATTCTGGATGGTGCGCACACACAAACATATCTATCTGTAGTTGAAGATATAAAATCGAGTATTTTGTTTAACACATTTGTGATTAAAAGGAAAATAACAGACATAAGGGAAAATTTGCTTTTGCTTGATGATTAGCAAAAACTTGAATTTGGACTTTCTGGGCTAACACTGTTGAATCAATAAATTGAATGCAAACACAAGTGAAACGCCAACAAACTATATCATTGTGACTAGGTCTTAAATGTATGCATGGAAAATGAAATGGGGAAGCTTTGTTAGAGCAGAAAGATTAGGGATAACTTTCAAATAATGTTTATAAGCAGCGTTCACTACTTTTAAGATAAAATGCTGTTTTTCCATACCCATGGTGTTGTAAATCATAATATAAATGTTTTGTATGTATAAGTAATAACTCTATAAAATTTGGAAAAGAATTTTAGAATATTTTTAAAATATGGATAACTAATTTTACCATGGTAGAATATATTTCAGCAATCCTTTCTTGAATGTTCCTGTGTGCCAGGCTCTGGGATCTAGGCAACAGTCAGTATTCCAGAGTTTATTTTTTAGTGTGGCAGATATACAAATAAATGGAGAATCATGGTCTTTGTAATGAGTATTGTAGGCAAGTGGGACCAGTACTAAAGTTCTAGAGTGCGAAGGTATGAAGAATCCAAGTGGTTTTCTGGGCTAAATCAGAAAGACTAGAAACCAAACACAGAAAAATTTTTAAAGCGCTTAGAGTATGGGCAGCAGGCAGTTTTAGACCTTCACTAGTAGCTCCACAAGAGGAAACAGTTCTCATCTTCAACATCTGCAGAATAAAATACAACTCCCATGAGGTGAGGTATACGCATCCTCTGCCAGAACCAACTTCTCCTGATTCTGAACCCCACCATTCCCCCCAGGGCTCTTGTTGTTCTGCTAGTCCATTGCAGTGACCACACAGAATTCACACAACCGGACAAGTAGGGAGTTTATTAGGGATTTTTAATAGGTTACACTTCAGGCTGGAAACAGGATGCAGTTGTTCAACCAGGACAGCCTTCTCAGCTATCCTTGCACTTTTGGTTCTGGGCCTGTGTCACAAAGCTCTCTTGTTGTTATGTGCCATCAAGTTGCCTGTGACTCATAGTGACCCTCTGTACAAGAGTCTTGAACAAAAAAAAAAAAACCAAACCAAACAAACAAGAAACGAGTCTTGAACGTACCATGGATTGTCAAGAAACCAAATAGGTCTGTCTGCGAGAGCATGAAACCAAGTTTCTCCTTTGAGGCTAGGATTTTGAAGCTCTGTCTCACATACTTTGAGCATGGGGCCAGGAGAGTAAGATCCTTGGAAAAAGACATCATACTTGGAAGGGTGGAGGGACAGAGCAGGAGAGGAAGACCTGAATGAGATGGATTGAGACATTGTCTGTGGCAATGGAGGTAGGTGTGTCTGAGTTAGTGCAACTGGCTCAAGACAGGACAGACTTCAGAGCTGTTAGGATATGTGTGTGGTGCAGAATCACAGGCAAGTAAGGGTGTGGCTGTGGTGTTTTGTTTGTTTTTTACTTTAAAAATGTATTCTTTTATAAAAGGTTCACGTAACATGGGCATGTCAGCATATGACAGATCAATTAAGGCATAGTTGTGATAGCAAGAATATGTCCAAATATTATCAATCCTACAATTACAGGTCATTGTTTGAATTTTAAATACATAATAATTTGTGTTGTTTTTATTAAGTTTTACTGGCTTATTTACAAAGTTCATGTACATTGTTTTTCACATCAGATCTTTCCCGTTTCCTTCACACACACCCCGCCTATCAAATTTGCTGCCCTATGATTAACCACCCCACCATGTGTGTGTGTTTTAGTGCATTTTCATCCAGCAAATAATGTTGATTGATTGATTTCCTAAAAGTTTGTTTTGAGAGTGGAAAGATGTGAAACTGTATAAGAAGGGAAGCACTATATCATCAACACTCTTATTTTATATACTAGAAAAATTAGGCATCAGGGAGCCATTGAAGGCTTTTGAGTCAGCTTGAGATTTATGTTTGAGATGGACCCTTTAGGGTGACTGTGCCAGCTGAGATGGAGAGACACAGGCTCTCAAATTAGGGATGGCCTCAGAAGACTGCCAGACTCATCTCAGAGAATTAATGCTGAACTGTGTCGGTACAGAATATAAAGTGTAATAAAATTTAGAAGGTAAAATCAGCAATAACTGTGAAAATTGATTGTTGTTGTTATATGCCGTAGAGTCAGAACTGACTCCAAGCTGACCCTCCGGTGAGTTTTCAAAGGCAGTAGTATCATTGAATGGGAGGGGATTGCCCATTTTTCTCCTGTGGGGCAGCTGGTGGATTTGAATGACATGTGTTTGGGTTGGCAGCACAGCTCCTTAAGACGCGGTCACCAGAGTTTCCTTGGAATTGATTCGCTGTTGAGATTGCTGAGGGTGAAAGAATCTTTTATCAATCCTAGGTTTTTCTCTCTGCTGGTGCCATCAGTTGAGAGAATACAGGAAGGTAATTATGCTTGGCATAAAGAAAGAGTCGACTCAGGTTTTGTGATGTGGAGTTTGAACATGTGAAAACTAGGAATAAATTTGAGGCCCAAGATTGTTGTTGTTTGTCGTCAAGTTGGAACTGACCCATAGCTGACTCTCCAGCACCTTTTAAGAGGCAGTAAATCACGTGGGAGGAGCTTGCCCATCCTGCTCTGGAAGAGCAGCTGGTACACTTGAACCACATACCTTTGGGAGTGCAGCACAGTTAAGTTGTGGTTATTGAACAGAGTAAGCCTTGTAGTGATGTCCATCTGGTGCTGCCTGAGACTTGTACAACAATTATACTTCTGGGTATAGTATACTCAGAAGATTGAAAATAGAGGCTCAAGCAGATACTTGTACATCAGTGTTCATTGCCGCATCATTCACAATAGCTGGAGTGGGAACAACCAGATCCTTCCTTAGACATGAATGGATAAACAAAACATAGTGCATCCATAGATGGAATATTGCTCTGCTTTAATGAGAAGTGACATTTTTATAAATGCTTACAACATAGATGAACCTTGAAGAAAGTGTTCTACAAAGTAAGAGAAGTCAAGACCCAAAGGGCAGCTGTTGTGTAATTCTACTTCTATAGTTTTCATAGTGCCAGGGTCTGGGGGAGGAAGGAATGGGATGTTACTGCTTAATGGGTACGGAGTTTTCTGCTTAGATTATGAAAATATTTTGAAAGTACTTACGGTTGTAATTGCACAACATTATAAAGATAATGAATACACATGAAAATTATTTAAAAAGCAAGTTTGGGTGTACATTTATCTCAAAATTTTTTAAAAAAAGAAGCTATAACTTCTACGATTTATTTTAGTTTAGTATGATAGTAAGTTATTTGTACGGTCTGAGACAAATGGCACCCTATAGATGGTTCGATTTAATTTGTGTAAAATTATAACACTTTATTTGCAGGTACAGATGATATTGTAGGGCCTGAAGGCATGGAGAAATTTTGTGAAGACATTGGTGTTGAACCAGAAAATGTAAGTCTTGTCTTCAGTTTTTACTTAACACTTCAACATTAAAACCTAACTAGCATTAAGATCTCTAATGAACTCTTCTTAAATGTGACAAAATGTATCTTATCACATAACCTAGTACTCCTGTAACAGAAATATGTAAGTATGTAACTGCCAGATTATAAAATGCTTAACTGCCAAACCACTGAGAGTTGTGGCCCAGCCATGTTGAAGAAATGCAGTTTAATCCATGACAATATCTGGTAATAAATATTTTTAGTAGATTAATTTCATCTGTTGTTGTTATGTACTATCAAGTTGGAACGAACTTGTGACTTTTAGCCTCTAGTGAGTTTTCAGAGGTAGTAAATCACACAGAGGGAGATCGCCCATCTATCTCCCTCAGAGAAGCTGGTGAATTCAAACTGCCTCCCTTTGGGTTGGCAGCACAATTCTTGCCCACTAGTCCACTAACGTCCTAGTTTCATTTATAATAGATAAAAGCCATCATTTAACCTTGTTTAATTCTGAAGAAAAGGAGTGTTTTAAAAAATCTACTGTGCTCTCTTTTGTCCTTAAACATTTTTACTTTTATGAGGAATGACCAGGATTATGTAAAAACCGTGTTGATAATTTCCTACCACTGATGCAATCCTCAGCCCAAAGAAACTCTAAATCCCAGAACACAGCCTCTTACTAAAATCTTTTAAATTACCTTTGATGAGGCAGATTTTTTAACTGTGGAGCCAAACCATAGACTCTCAACAAGTTCGGTAGGTTTCTCCATTACATTAAGTACTAAATGTCTGTAGTCTCTATCACATCAACATTATATAATACAATGTATTGGTTTTATTGGAGATGGGAGGGGTCTCTAAGCTGCCCAGCCTTCAGCTTGTCAGGTGCCTACCCCCTCCTCTGAGCGGCCTGCCAGATCGAATGTCTCGTGTTTTTTTCTTCTTCGATTACCTGGGGAGATGGGAGGGGTCTCTAAGTGACTGTGGAACAGACCACCAACTACTCATATACAAATTCAAGCTAAAGCTGAGGAAAATTAAACCAAATCCAAGGCAACCAAAATATGACTTTGAGTC